TTACTATGTACTTAATTGTGATTTGAGAGAAATATTGTATTATCCATGAACTTAGTAGATATATTTTTTCTAGCATGTTACTAATTATGTGATATTAGAAGAGAGAGAAGGTGAAAGTGATAATTTTATTTTGTTATAATGGATTAGCAAAAATAAAGATAATTAATATAAACCGGAATAGCATGACACACTTAACATAAAAGTAAAGAACAAACTTGGAATTTTTGTATAATTGGGTTAATTTTTTATATAATAAGTATATTATAACCTCCTTAATGTTAAAACTATATTCCAAATTTGCACATAAAACTATCAGTAGTTATTAAATGAAATTCATTATCTTAAATTATAAAGTAAATAGAACTCTGTCTTTTAAGATTAAAAAAAAATTGTATCTTTTGGGTATCTCTGATTTGCCAATGCTCACAAAATAACCCTGGATTTTTCACAAACAACCATGGATCTTCATAATTTTCACAAAGACCATTGAAATTTCATATATTTATAGAAAAATACTAAAACTTCATAATTTTTTACAGATAAACCCCTATATAGTTCAAAACTTAAATCTTAAGAAGATTAAAATGGGTGTGTTTGGTATCAAGCACAAATTTTGTGTTTAGTAGTGAGGTGACACAATCCCTTCCACTCATTCAAATGGGGGACCACATTCACATTAGTTGAGACAAGTACGCATAAGTACGTACGCATTCAGCTCAAAAAATGTAAACAGTCAGCGATTCCCCGTGAGCAAGGGCTCATTTGTAAAAATCCTTACACTGCCTCTGTGGCCGTTGAGCGAGTGTTCCTCCGATGAGGGAGCGCCTAGGCATTCCTTACACTGGCTCTGTGGCCGTTGAGCAATTGAACTTGCGGTTCTTTTTTTCTTCTTCCTTTTACTACGTAGGAGATGGGGCTATTGCATAGAGGATGTGATGATTGAGCAGACACCAAGAGGAGTTAAGCCAGTTTATGGAAGAATTGTGCTCACATATGAACATTCGGTTGAAGCCATATTCAACAACAGGCCTGTGCTTTCAATGGAGATCAACGGGAGTACGAACATTGCTAGGAAGTTCACCCCTAACTGAAGTTTCAAGGATTGAACCAGAGTAAGCAGAAATAGAGAAGTTCGTTTCTGCGGTAGCATTTTAAATAAAGTTTGTTTGTTGTTTTCGAAGGCTTCATCAGAGTCGGAGACTCTGAAGTATTATTATCCATATGAATATGGGGTTTCTATTTGTGTTGTAATAATTGAAAACTTTGTTTGGGTTTCAATATGAAGTATCTGTAATAATGAAGCTACTATATATTCGTGTATTCGCATATTCGCATATTCGCGAATTATGTTTGGGTTTCAATATGAAGTATCTGTAATAATGAAGCTACTATATATTCGTGTATTCGCATATTCGCATATTCGCGAATTAGAACATCAGAATTAGTATACAAATTGAAATGTATTCTGTTACAAAAAAATATTGATATTGATGTTTTTAAAATATAGCAATAATTTCAATTAGTTACGATGATGTACGATGTGCAAGCAAAATGTACATTTTCCCACCTATTGTGTGGGTTTTAGTCCTAATCTTTAGAGAAATTATAAAAGCAACTCAATAAAAGGAATAATACTGGGCAAAAACGAGAAATTATAAAAGCAACTCAATAAAAGGAATAATACTGGGCAAAAACCCTTTGCTACTTCAACTTTTACAGTTAACAGAGATACAAAGCAATAAAAGGAATAATACTGGGCAAAAACCCTTTGCTACTTCAACTTTTACAGTTAACAGAGATACAAAGTACAAAACAGAGTTATTGAACTCCATACATCGAATCCATGCCCATATCAATTAACACCACATCTTTAAACCAAAAGTTTGATCAAAGTTCTTCTGATCTCCCTGCTTTTTGTTTATTTACACAAATGACAGGTGAATCCGATAGAAGACCTCATATGTAACATAGCACCTAGTTCCCCCATTGTATGACAATGCCGCTCAATCTCCCGTTGCAAGCTTCTCTTCATCTACTTCAAAAGCTTTCCTGGCCTGCTTCAGCTCTTCATTCATCAAAAGAAGTTCTGTGCATCAGACTGTGCTACATTTTAATGAGTGAAAAAAAAAGTAGGGTGATGAAACTTGTAGAATATTGCCCATGGCCTATGCGACCATGATAATTGTAGAATATCGCCCATGGCTAATGCAAGTTCAAACATATAAATTAATATATATTATAAGTTGGATTTACTAGCGTTGGATGCTTCAGGGCAATGCACTTAACAATGATTATCTTGCCATTAAAAGATATAAGTTTTTGAATCATTTATAGATGAACCTTTCATACTTCATTTGCCTGATCTCCACCATTTAAAAAAAACCAAGCAAAAACTCAAGAAACCAAGCAATTTTGTCAAAATTATCAATTAGAAACCAAGCCCACATAATCCATTAAAAAACTCACATTTTACTCTATGCAATAGCCCCATCTCCTACGTAGTAAAAGGAAGAAGAAAAAAAGAACCGCAAGTTCAATTGCTCAACGGCCACAGAGCCAGTGTAAGGAATGCCTAGGCGCTCCCTCATCGGAGGAACACTCGCTCAACGGCCACAGAGGCAGTGTAAGGATTTTTACAAATGAGCCCTTGCTCACGGGGAATCGCTGACTGTTTACATTTTTTGAGCTGAATGCGTACGCACTTATGCGTACCTGAAATGCAATATATATATATATATATATGAGTAAGACTCCTATCAACTTAAGTTGATGTCCACCAAACTTCCTAGCCACTCATTTATTAATATAAAAAAATCTTTTTATATCATACAAGGATCCCTACGCAAGATGAGTGGCTAAAAAGTTTGGTGGATAACTTTTTGCTATCCACTTAAGTTGACACAAGTTTTGCTCTCTCTCTCTCTCTATCTCTCTCTCTCTCTCTATATATATATATATATATATATATATCATACTCCCTTTAAAAGTACGAGTTCAGAAAAATCTTTCTATGGTCAAAATTATCCTTCACAATTTTCAATATTTTATTTAAATATTGATATATCCTAATCATACATCTTATCCTAATCCCATATAAACTACCTAGCTCAACAATTTAAAAAAAAAATAAGATTAATAAAATACATGAAGCAGCTCTGCATTATTAGTTTGTTAAGGTAAAGAACAAATGTTTAAAATTACACAAAACATTGTTTCAGAACTTTAAACAACAACATGAAATCTGAAAAGTAACAACACCCTTTAAAGATTTTAAAATTTACAATTAATTACTCTCAACATTTCAAAATTTTTAGAAACACCCTCAAACGTTCAAATAATAAAAAGCACCTTGAAATTATAAAATTTTAAAATTTGTAAACTACAAAGATGAATTCAGGGGATTACTATCTGGCACCTAATTTTTTTTTAAAAAATAACCTTGAAGTTATAAAACTTGTTTAAAAATCCTTCAAAAGTTAAAATCACAAAAAATCTTAAAATTTAAAACTTATAATCGGTATATATCAAATCTAACAATTATCAGTAGACCACTAAAAATTTAAATTTTATAAAAAACAATCCAAAGTTTCAATAATTATAAAAAGAACACCCTCAAAATTTTAGAGTTGTAAAAAATATCTTGACATTTAAAAACTTATCACCAACA